ATTTTTTACTTCTATAGTTATGTTTATATATCTATGTAAACCCAATTTCACAAATCTGTTATAATTATATAAATTTTTATTTAATAGGAATACTAAGTTTTTTCTTTGCGATATATATATTTTTATATATATTTTAGACACAAAAAGCACTTAATATGAGTAAATTACGTGCTGACATAACTTATTAACATCATTGTGAACCAGATGATCTTTTTTCTTTTTTAAATACTGCTTTGATACATAATAATACTACAAATTAAACAACATATAATTATACTATAACTCAAATAATGCATGATAATACAACTCAAACAATACATGATAATACAACTCAAATGATGCATAATAATACTACAACTCAAATAACACATGATAATATTACTTTAACTCAAATAATACATGATAATACTAATTCAGAAATATCTGATATAGCTGATAGCAATAATAATATTAGCTCATTAGATAAAATACAAAATGAATATTTAGATGAAGATAATAAAGAAGTTAAAGATAATGAAAAATGTGATTTGACTTATATTTTTGAGACAGAATTTGGTGAGTATCTTCAAGAGTGGGTAGAAATATTAAATAAAAAAGAAGAGGCAGATATAATCAATAATCAAAATAATTCTGTAAAGTTAAATAATAGTACTCACCCAGCTTTAGATAAAGATGTGAAATAGAAATTATCTGATTTATTTTGTCTATTAAATCTTTTATTTCATTAAATTTATTAAAGCAAATATTATTTTGAATTGGTTATAATTGTCAGAATAGTAGAAAAAAGATAATTAGCAGTAAAAATAAATAGGTTATTCGATTTATTATTTTTTTATTATATATAAATTATGCTCTATAATAAATTCTCTTTATTTAATAGTAAAAGAGATCACAATAGTTAGAATTTGATTGTAAAGTTATCAATACGAGTTTAGATAGTATAACTAATTAGTCTTTATCAAGTATCTAAATTAATAGCAATAGTATAATGCTAACAAAAAAAACTTAAAGATATTAGTCTTTTTTTTCAGAATTAATACTAATTGGTTAAATTTAAAAATCATATTTAAACCTTTAGAACATTTTTAAGTATCTTAAATTTACTTAGCAGAAAATATTTTAAAGGGTCAAATAAGTTTAATATCATAATGAATATTTAAATAAATATCAAAGTTTATACTTCAATTTACCAACATTTTATAGCAAACTATCTTATTTTTAGCTTGGCAAATTTACAACTAATTGAATATCTTAAAGTAACCTTACCATATAGCAACCGAATATTAATGAACTAAATGTAGTGATGATATTTAGTAAAATATTAATGAATCACTTAAATATCACTTGCATTGTATATATACAAATATAGTTATAGTTACGATTACAAACTAATCATATTGGAGTTAAAGTTTGAGAATACCTTTAGTAAATTGATACAATAACTGCTTCAATTAGTTATATTGATTGAGCACTATCTTAACCACTAGTAGCTCAACTCATATTAAGGAAGCTACTTGATATATTTTTTAGAAATCTAAAACCCTAATATAAATTAATTGACTATATGTAAGCTACTAAAAAAACTAAATATATTAAAAGTAAGTTTGAAAAACTTCGTATTCAGTTTGACTTATTATCTTTATAAATTAATACTTATCATTAGGGCATGCTATTTATTACGTAATAAAATTTTATTAATAGCTACCCTCTCCATGTATGGTGTGATCTTAATTCTGTTAATTTATTTAAAGATCTAATATTAATATCTAAATATACAATATATATATTCCAGATCTAGTATACACTATATATTATATTATAAAAAAAATTTAAAGTATATATATACTTTGTATTTACAATAGGCAGTCTAACTATTTATAGTTTATACTTAAGTTTAATTCATAGTAGAACCACTATTTGTATATACTAGAAACAGAGTGAAGTGTATAGCTTACTAGAGAAAGAAAAGTGTATGGTCCCAAAATCTAATTTTTGATTTGCCAGCATGAACATCTTGTTCTTTACCCACTATTAAAATTACTACCTATCTCTGTCAAAGCCACGAATCTGCACAATACCCATAGTTGAAGTCGCTGCTAACTCACGA